ATATATACAGAAGGCTAAAACATCATGCCAATATGAAATTATACTTCCAGAGGGTTTAAGAATTCCACAATATCCTTTCCAGAGCACTAGAAAGGGGAACTGTCAACTGTTCACACAATGCCAGCACTATTTTCACTTGTGACAAGTTAAAAATTCAAATTCTTTGGCATGGCAAAGCAGACCACACTCTGATCCTTGACACAATTTCTAATCCCTTTGTCACCAGCAAAGCTGAGAGAAAACCTGCAAAACCCACTAGCTTCATTTGCTTTTAGTTACTTGCTTTCACCATCAATTTTTGACCACGAACTAAGCAACGTACCTCACTAGCCCATAGGTAACACCACTAACTACAGGTCATGACAATGGCTACCTATATTGCTTTTCAAGAACAGGGAAGGAAACCAAACTGTTGAATGCTGCAACTCTTCCTTGGGCCAACAGAGTGTCTAGTAACAGGAAACCTTTTGACTTCATGCAAACATGGGCACTTTCTCAATAGGTGTTCTGTGAAGAGCAAGGAAACTGATTAACATGCACAGACCATCCATTGTGCAATTATATCTTTCTAGAGCATAATCACTCATATCTATTTGCTGCTGAAAGCTCCACTTCACTGTCACCTCCTCTGGAAAGCTGCCCATGATCACCTCTGTATCCTCTGTCATTCCAGTATGAATTAGGCACTGCATTTCTGTGGTTCTTCTGTATTTCTTTCCGTAAATCTCTCACACTACATTACAGATTCCTGATACTGGTTAGCACACTACCTGCGAAGTTTGGTTACTCATAAACAAGACTTGCTTTCTACCCCAGATTTGGAACATTCAGAAATCTATGACTGTATCCAGATATAACATGAAACAGGTACAGCTCAAGATTGGCACACTGGAGGAAGTTTTCTAACAAGGGTGCTGACTAGAACCCAGACTCAGACCTTGATAAAACTTGCTTCCTTTTCTTTTGCATCAGTGTTTCTCAAATTTTCTGTCACCCACAATAATGTTTATCTCATCACCTAGTATGCACTTACCCATATAAACAAAATGCAAAATACCCTCTATGAAATGCCTTTGATTACTAGTCTAGCATCTCTACTCCTTTCCAGCTGTTTACAACCTCTGAAGAGATTTCATAATTAATGGGACATGACCCAAATTTGAAATAAGGTTGTGGGGGGGAAGTAGCATGGTGTTTTAATTGCTCATGAAGTCATTAAAATTTGTTGTTTTATGAAACACAGGCCCAAAGAGAAATGCAGCTATTAATGGTGGATATGTACGCGAATAAGTTTTTAACATGAACATTAAGAAACATATTCAAAACGAGCATTGTACAAAAGGCTTTATAAATGTCTTTATATATGTTTATGTGTATATATATTTATGTGTATATACATAAGTATCTATAATCATTAAGGATCTAAAAGTTTTTTCTAGCTATTATCTAAGATGTACTTCATATGACAAAACACATGCTATGGTGGGATTTAGGAATTTGGAGGTTCAGTTCCAAAAGGATCATGTTGGGAGTGTGCTAAGGACCAATAACTGTAAACTGTTTACCATACTGAGGTGGGTGTGTCAGAGGCATGGAAATACTGGAGCTTAAGATGCACATATCCTTCACAGCAATAACCTCACATACAGAACTCTCCCCATGCATTGTATCTGAGAACCAGAGCAGAATGATTGATACTCCCACAGTATCAATCAAAAGAAAGTGGTCAGCAATTTGGAAATCCAGAAATAACAGAAGGCTCACACAGATTTCAACTGTAAGTTAAAAAAAACAAAAAGGAGGTCTGTGATCCAGTATGGCCCCATTTTTTTAATGTACATGTTTATACAGGATGATATGGAAAAAGGGCTGGGTGTGGTGGTGCATGCTTTTAATCCCAGCACTGGGGAGGCAACAGTAGGCAGATCTCTGTGAGACTGAGGCCAGCCTGGATGGTCTACATAGAGAGTTCCAGGTCAGCTGGGGTTACAGGGAGACAAGAATACAGAGAAAGACAGAAAGGGAGAAAAAGCCACCTGCCTCATATGGACATTAAATTCACCAATAAAAATACACTGTATGCTATATTGCCTTTCATGTACAAGTATGTGTACAGAGAAAAGATAGAGACGTTTAAAAGAAACAAAAACTTTCAGAACACTTTACTGTTAAAAAAAATAATAGCAGCAGGTGTTTGATGGATAAATAGGTAGATTGGTTTAGGTCAAATCATAAAATAACCTAGAGAAAGACGGCAGTCTCTTTGCAAACTAGTTTTGAGAGCTAAGTTTGATTTCTCTGCAATGTTTTGTCAATATCAGGTGTTTGTGCTTCTTTACCAACATCTGGTACTCTCCCTTTTTGAAAAGTTCTCCTGTTTTCCATGACATCACGCCATGTGGTTCCCCCGCCCCACCTTTGGTAGCTCTTACTCAATTTCCTGGGGTCTCTTCCTTGACTTGCTTGTCCTTCAAGGCCCTGTCCTATTCATGCACTCCACCTTCCTTGTGATCCAGTTCATTTCCAAGGCTTCAGTTAGCACCCACAAGGAAACAGGGGACTTGGAGGTCAGCTCCTCCCCTAACTCATAGACACGCCTACCCATGGGCCTACAGAAAATCTCTACCTGAACAGGCATGAAATACAATTACATCCAAAACTAAACTCTTTTCTCCCAAATCCTGTGCCTCTTTCTGAGACCCTGACCGTGGACCCGGATAATCCGCAAACAGTGAAGCAAGCTAGAAGCAACTTAGCCCGGGATCAAGCTAAGTGGCCAATCCTCCAAATCTCCAGAGAGTGAGTGTCCGGAAAATTCCCAAAGTTCAAGTTGCACAGATGCAAGGTACCTAGGCCACCATGCCCCCGCGTGGTGCCTCTGCCCGCCGCCTTCAGGTACTGCTGCCCTCGCCCCGCACCGCCTTTCTCCCCTGGGACCCGCCCACCAGGCCGAGCCGCTCGGCTCCACGTGCAGATCGCTTTGCCCACTGCACTCAGCAAACCCCAGGGTCAACGTGCGAATCGCAACATGCGGGACAGCAATCAAACCCGCCTCCCTGCGCCTGACCCCGACCGTACAGAACACCTCAGTCCCTGGGAGCCCGCGGAGGACGCGCGGAACGGGAAGGTGGCTGGCTCCACAGGACCGCACCTCACGGGCCGCCGTCTCCAGCAGGCCTTACCTGGGATCCGGCACCCATCTGCCAGTCAACTGCTGAAGGCTTCCAATGCCCGGGTCTCCGGGCGAGACTAGCCCTAACGGTGAGGGAGAGCCGGGCCGAAAGCGCTCGGCCACACGACACACAGGGAGCCGCCATGTTGGCCGCCAGAGGTCAGGGCGGGCGGGGTGAGGGCGGGGCCTGGGGGCTGCGCAGGCGCAGGCCGCCGCCGGCTTCGCACAGGCGGAAGCGCTTCCCCGGCACGGGGCAGGGAGCGTGCTCTGACGCCCGGCCTCTCTCCTCTTCGGAAGCGCTGAGCTGAGTGGAAGTCTCTACCCGACGTTCTGGGAGTAGTGGCGTTGCTGTCGAGGTTTCGCTTCAGGCCTTTGATTCCTGCCGCGCCACGCCTGGTTGCTGCCCTACAGGTGGTTTTGCAGCCTTCCCGCCTGCGGCGCGGCGCGTGGGAGCCGGGGGCCGTACACCTCCTTCCTTCCCACCCCCGACGTGAGCCCTCTGCAGCCCTCTCTCCTGCTCCATGGATTCCAAGCCTATCTTCTTGTCTGCCTGCCCTGTCAAAATGGCTTTCTCCTCTCTCACTTGCCAGGTTTTTTGTTGTTGTTTTTTGGGGGGAGCGGGCGAGGAAAGGGTTTATTTTATCTTACATCTCCCCGGTCACCACTTGCCAGTTTTTAAGATCTGGGTTAAGACCGCCTTCTGCTGCTGACTCTTATGTTAGTCTAAACCAAACTCTAGGTTTCCTTGACTCTTAGTTGGGAGGTAGGCAGGCTGCCGAGGACAAACACTGTCCAGCTCATCTTCACATCTTTCGCTGGCGTGGCTGCTGAGCCTTGAAACCCGTCAGAACCCAGCGTCTGCATAGACATAAGAAGGCCTTGCCTTTTGAAACCCTGGGCTCCTGATGGTCTCACGGCCAGCGTGATTCTACTAGGTAAAAATCAAATGATGAAATAAATCATTCTAAACGGGTTTCCAAACATCTCTATGTAAAAGGTCAACGGAAGTTTAAATCACACAGAAAATGAAATCGAAGTGGCCACGTAAATGTTTGCCTCTACTACCATCATCATCTCACAAAACACGGTAAAAAGGGGGAAATGGCATAATTTCTGAAAAAAGAACAAATCTCTAAATGGAATAGTATAGTTGTATGACGAAAAAGACACTGTTTTCTCCCTTGTATGTCACTACATTAGTGAAGATCTCTTCTGTAAGTGGCAGAGGTCCATGACTAGCATCTGGGAACCAAGCTCACTAAAATAGATGTCTTTAAATAGCACTTACTATACGTCGAAATTCTAAAAGAAAAAAATAGAATGAAAATTCAACCAAATAGAAGACAATCAACTATATGAAAGAATATTTACCACAAAAATGTCTGTTGAAGCATGTGAGATCTAAGTACTGAAATTGGCCTTGGAGTTTTGAACATTTTCTTTTTCTTATTCATGTGCCTCTTGATATGATGTATTAAAGGAAATATACAATCTCGTCTTTAGTGGCAACATTTGTACAAACTCCTGTTTCCTTTGTAGCCTTTCAATTCAGGGACAAATACACTGCTCTAGCTTGGCGTTGGGTGCATACTTTAAAGACATTTAAATATGCTGATAAACATTTAAAATATCAAAAAACATATTTTGCCGAATGACTAAGGCTTAGGTTCCTTTCATTTTTTTCTCATTTGTTGAGAATTATAGCATAAACATCAGTCATCCTAGCTACAAAGTCCAATACAGTAGGATTATGTGTGCCGTGAGGTTCGGTCCTAATGTCAACTTGTAAACATTAAGAGTCGAAATGTTGGGCTGACACTAAGCTGTATTGCGATATGATTAAAACTGTTACATGTTACCAGCAGGAATATAAATCGGTGTAACTCTCATGAAACAACTAATTAGCAGCATACTAAAGTTAAGATGCACACACCTGACAATCCATTAGTTGTGTTCCTAGGTGTGTATACATAGAATGCAAAAATTCTTGCACACTGCATCAGGAAGCATGTATAAGAATGTTCATAGCAATTTTTTTCATTTGTATGTGTTTGGGGTGTGTGTGTGTGCATGTATATGTGTGTTCATGTGTGTGAGTGTATGTGCAGGTGCATGTATGTAAATGTGTGCATGTGAACTCCAAGGTTGGTGTTGGGAATCTTCCTGTACAGTTCTTCCACCTTATTCTTTGAGGCAGGGTGTCTCAATTGAACTGATAGGGCTAATGTCAGCTTGCTCCCAGGATCTCCTGTGTCTGCCTTTGGCTAGAATTACAAGTGACTTGCCATGCCCACCTGATATTTTACATGGATTCTGGGGATCTGTTTATGAAGAGGAAGAGGATGGATAAGAGCACCATACAGTAATGACAGCAAATGGAGCACAGCTACACATATGCATACAGACAAGTTCCACTGAGTAAAAAGGAGGCAGCACATACACGTGTACACAGTACGACTCAATTCACATAAAGTTCAGGAAATGGGCAAAACCAAGCAAGACAATGTTTGAGGGTTTAATCTCAGATGTAGAGATGGCTCAGCAGTTAAGAGCACTGGCTGCTCTTGCAGATAGATGATCCAGGTTCAGTTTCCATCACCCATATGATGACTAACAACCATCCATAACTCCAGTTCCAGGGGAATCCGGTGCCCTCTTCTGAACTCAGCAGGCATTGGACAACATGATTACATTTGCAGGCAGGCAATACACTCATAAGATAAAAATAAAAAATATTTTAAAAATCCTTGAAGAGAAGGCAAGGGATGGCAGCATTTCTATGTCCAGGGTTCTCTATGTAGGATGACTCTTGGGATCACAGGTGTTCATTTTATTCTTATTCTGTAAATCTATGTGTGTACTGTATATTCAGTTCATCTTTCTTTTTTCTTTCTTTTTTTTTTTTTTTGGTCTTTTTGAGACAGGGTCTCCCTGTAGCCCCAGCTGTCCTGGAACTCACTATGTAGACCAGGCTGGCCTTGAACTCCCAAAGATCCACCTGCCTCTGCCTCCCGAGTGCTGGGCTTAAAGGCGTGCGCCACCACGCCCGGCTCTTTTTTCCTTTTTTATTTTTATTTTATGTGTATGAGTGTTCTGCCTGCGTGTGCATAAATGCACCTGTGTTGTGTAAAACCCGAGGCCAGAAGGGGTCAGATCCCCTGGAACTGAAGTTACAGGTGGTTATTAGTCACCATTTGGGTGCTGGGAATAGAACCCAGGTCCTCTGGAAGAGCAGCCAGTGTTCTTAATTGCTGAGCCATCTCTCCAGCCCCCTCAGCTCAGCTTTCAAAAGATGTTTAAACAAATCTTACATCTAACTCTAGTACATACAATTTAGGAAAGCAAATATTCTGGGTCTGTACCCCAGTCTCAGCCCCCAGGCCTCTTTAAACTCTCTGTGGAGTCACTGCCATCTCATGCTGAATCATGATCCCCTTGACAATGTATGACTTCCACCACTATAATATGGCTTCATCCTGCATCCTTCCATTCAGCCTGAATTCAGGGTGTAAGATTTAAGACACCATTTCTCATACAGTGATACATCTGATCAATTGTATTGTGGGATTCAGAATTGGTGAAGGAAGTACACATATAGAATATTGTAATTGATTTAAAATAAAGTTCTATTACTCTAAAATAGGTTCAGAAATAACCTTTTAAGTAGAAGGGAAGCTATTTGCTTACTAGTGAGACAATACTTGATCTGGCAAATACTAAACTGGAGAACATCCCACTGGTGCCACAACACAAATACCCTTTAAAGCCCACCTACCTAATGCATCCTCATCCCCTGCTCCCACACAGCTGGTAGAAGATGAGAGAAAAGTCACAGAGGAGAAGTCCCAAAGAAACTGGAATGGGATAAGTCCTATTTTTATTCCACTAGCTTAAAAGCTTGTGACTCTTTTTGCTTTAGTCACTAAGGTCTGTTATACATGAAAATATAAAGTTTTGTATCTATGTGCGAGTTCTGTGTCTATAGAATCCATCAACTACTGATTTTAAAAAATGTATTCAGAAATCAAGTGTTAAACATATACAGGCTTTTGCATTAGATATGTCGAATAACCTAGAGATGATTTTACAGTATGCAGGAGGATGTCAGTAGACTATGTGCAGTTAGCACACTATTTTGCATAAAGGACTTGAGAGTTTGGGGCTCTGCAGTGTACTTGGAGCCAATCCCCTGTGGGTATGGAGAGACAATGTCACATCTAACAGGAAGTGTCGATTTTTGTTTTGGATTTCATTCATACTCACTGAACAGGTATGATAGCCTATGGCAGGCATGCATGTCTGCCCCTCACTCTCTAGTGCATATGTCTTAGATACCAAATGGTGTGCTCTCCAGAAAATTGGTCCTCCTCTACCTTTAAAGGGTTCTTAAGGAGTGTCTCCAGAGTTGTAGAGCTTTGTGGATCAATATAAACATTAGCCTGGGAGAAACACAAAGGCTTAGTGGAGTCCACAGATAATTGGAACCTTGAGAACTTTGGTTCAAAGATGACAGAGTGTTTCATGAAATCAGAATTTGCAACCACAGCCAGCCACTTTGACTTTTGATAGGTAATTAAGCTAAGGCAGTCCTGCAATTCTCATCCATGTAACCAGGGAGTAGACTGGGCCAGTGTGGGTCTCAGAGAAGGGGCCTAAACATTCTGTAGTTGAACTGTGAGTTCAAGTGTGTCCTGTAAAAATGTTAAAGACCTAACTCCATCTGTCTCCTAATAGGCTTCTACTTGGGAAAAGGCTCATTTTGTGAAGGAATCCTGTATACCTGGGCCAATGGGTTTAATCCACTATGATGCTAGCCCTTATAAAAAGGAAGGTGGAGTAGTTAGCAAAGCATGGTGATACTGACCTATATCCCCAGCACTTGGGAGACTGAGGCAGGAGGATCTTGAATTTGAGGTCATCCTGGGCTAAATAGTAAGACTTGTCTCTAAAAAATAATAAGTAAAAAGGAAATTAGAACACAGAGACAGACGTATAGGTGAAAACAACATGAAGACTGGAGAAGATGACCATCTACGGCCCAAGGAAGGCCCAAGGCTAGCAAAAGCTGAGGAAGAGGCCTGGGACAGGTTTTATTCACATAGGTTTCCAAGGAAACCAACTTTACATCTTGATCTTAAGATTTACAGCCTCTAAAAATGCTGTGGAATACATTTTTGCCATTTAAACC